TATCTGTAAATTGTTCGGGTGAAGTGCAACCCAAATGGACCATGCCGGGTCGGGTCAAGTACATACCAAATATAGTTATGGACTTAGACACTATATCCAACAAAGATAACATAAAGTCAAATTATTTTACTAGAAATAAATGAAAGTATACTCCTATAATAGCCCAATAATATTTAGATGTTATTTCTTTCCTTTTGCCTTATCGAAATTGACTTGCTTCTCAGATTTGGAAAAACTGATATAATATTATAGCATTTAACAAAGTCGGTAAATAACATCCTTCTATGTGTCAACCACACGCTCAATGTAGGAAGTAGCAACGTACTTACATTTATTTGTCAATCATAGCGTCCTACTTTCTTTGTGAAATAATGGAGCCGCTGAAAAATGCAAACTTCTATTCTAACTAAAAAATGCAAACTTCTATTCTAGCATTTGTTACATGTTTAATTATAGCATTTGTAACACCCCATTTATTAAATAAATAAATAAATAAATTGATGAGTGTATAGTAGCTCTAAAGTCAATAATTATATAGCAAGGCATTGGCCTCGAGGGTTAATTGTTACAATTTTAGAAGTTGGGGGGATTAAAAGTGCTAGTTCTAGATTTAATTTAATAAGGATTTCAGAAGTCGGGGTGCGTTTGGTAATTAATGGATTTAAATTGAAAAGATTTGAAGGCTTAGGGGGCTGATTGGTAATTTAGGGACCTACTATGAAAGGAATTTATGGGATCAGGGTTTAAAAGGTAAGTTTGGACTTGAATTGAAGACAATCTCGTGAGGAGGGGATGAAGTTGTCAAAAGGATCAAAACTTCAAATGTCACGGGATTAATCTCGTATTTCTTTTCCCTCTCATTTGGAAGATGGTAACCCTAAACCTAATGAAATGCAGTCGCCGCCACCATCACGTAAACCCTCTTCAGCCGCCACCGTGAGAAGCTCCAGGACCGCCGCTGCTGCCTCGCCATTGTAGCCGCCACTGCCACCTTGCTGCCGGAGATGCGCTGTGCGGCCGAAGAACCGCCAAAGATCGAGGACTGGCGGCATTCGTCCTTGCGTGGCGGCGTGAACAACCGGAAACGCTTGGTAAGTCCGACTGCAACTCACCTCTCTCCTCTTCCTCGTTATTGGCTGTGAAAATGACGTTGGAGACGCCATGGCTGCCGCCGGTGGCTTTTGGCCTTCATTTTCACGACATTCTGGCAGCGGCAGCCGCGTGGAGGGTGGCTGGGCGGTTATATGTCTAGAATATAGGTCGTTGGCGTCGTTGTTGTTGTATGAGTTGCTTTGGGCCAGAAAACCCACCACCACCACCTCAAGGTGGTGGCTGCCGCCACTATCACTGTTTCTGCCGCCAACAGCCACCGTGAAAGGTGGCTATGTGTGTATTTATTAATTGCGAAGTAGTATGTGTGATTTTTCTTTGGACAGGAACCACCACCACCATTGGAAATGGTGGTTGCCGCCGTTGTGCCGCTGCTGTTGCTATCGGACCTCTATACGCCACCGTGAAGTGGGTGTTCGTGTGCATTCCCGAGCAAGAGACGTATTTTATGGTGTGTGTTTTGTCTAGCCGGAAAATCTAGAACAGCCACCGCCACCACCGTGAGGTGGTGGCTGCCGCCACGAGCCACCGCCGGCCACCACTAGTAGTTAGTGTGTGTGTTTATTTGTGGATTAAAAGCTTGTAATTGTAATTAGCAAAAGAGTAATGAAAAGAACCATAACCACCACCGTAAGGTGGTGGCCGCCGCCGTGAGCCGCCATTGAGCACCACTACCCGAGGTGGTAGTGGGTGGTGCCCCACTAGCAAAACCCTAATGGGCTTAAATATTAATTTTGGGCCTATTGGGCCATGTTTGGGTGGAAACCCTAATTAGGGTTTAGAAAACCCTAATTGTGAGCATTTGGGCCTTGGACTTATTGGGACCCACCTTTGGGCCATTGGGATTGGATTGTGTATTAAGCCCAAATTATTCCATATCATTTATATAGTAGAGTAAAGGACTTAATGGATTAAGTCCTTAATGGGTTAAGTGAGAAACACTTAACCCTAATCGTCATTTTATGTGAAACCCTAATTTCACTTGGGCCTTAAGTTGGGCCTTTCTATTGGGTTTTGGTAATTGGGCCAATAATGGGCCATCCAAGAATGATTATATGGACTAGAATATTTAGATGGGCTTTAGAGTAAGGCCCATATGAGGGTTTGGGCCCAATTTAGAAAATTGGGCCATAGTTTAGACCTTGATGGTTATATGGTATTGGGCCCTTAGAATGCCAAGAGTTGGACCAAGAATAAATGATTGGGCCTTAAGGCAAGACCATGTAGAGGTTTGGGCCTAATTTGGAAAATTGGGCTATAGTTGGGCCTTGGTCCATTATTAGACTTTTGGGCCTTTGGATTGGGCCTTGGGCTTGAGTCAAGCAAAGTTAGGGGGTAAAGTAGTATTTTACCCCAAGAATGGACTTATGGATATGTGTTAGAACCTAATTATTAATTGGGTGTTATTTTGATGTTGACAAATTCGGGAATCTGTCATCCAGCAGCTAGGGTTTTGTCAGCAGGACTTCAGCAGTGTGAGGTGAGTTTCCCTTCAGTAGGAACGGGTCTAAGGCACCAATGTCGACCCGTTTAGTAGTGTAGTATACCGGGGTTATCCCGATGCAGATTGTATGTTTCCGGACTTCGGTTCGATGTCGGGCGGGGCCCGATGCAGTGGTTTAGCTTCATGTTATATGTTATGTTTTCTGGACTTCGGTCCGATGTCGGGGCAATCCCGAGAAGTAGTTATGTATGCTTGATGTCTTCGTGATTCATGCATGTTTATGATATGTGTTATATGTTCCGGACTCCGGTCCGATGTCGGGCAAGCCCGATGGAGTATATGTGATTATGTTATATGTTCATGTTTATGTTATGTTTAGTTTATTCCGGACTTCGGTCCGATGCCGGGCGGGGCCCAAGTTATTCCGGACTTAGGTCCGATGCCGGGCGGGGCCCGATATAGTGGGCAAGGCCCAGTATGTGCTATGCGAGTTATTGTATGGTATGTGGTAGTTTGGGGAGACTCACTAAGCTTCGTGCTTACAGTTTTCAGTTTTGGTTTCAGGTACTCAGTTTTGGTTTCAGGTACTTGACAGTTGTTATAATATTTTGAGATACATTGTTTATGATTTTATGCGATATATGATGACTATGGTTTTATTACTGATTTAAAACGAAATTTTTGGAATGTATTTTTTGGATGTTTCAGCATTGTAATTTCATATTCTAATTTTGAATTCTAACATCTTACTTTCATATGTTTTCTGTTAAAGCATTGTATTTTTAGTAAATATCTTTTTAAAGCATTGTAATTTGGAAAATATGGTTCTGTCAAATCACTTCACTGTTTGATATCTTCTTTTAAAGTTAGAACTAATTTGGTGTTCTATTTTGGTTTTTTGATTTAAGGTTTTCGCATTCATAGGATATCAAATATGTTTAGAACTAAGATCTTTTTACCAAAGACAATGAGCTAAAGTGGTTTGTTCGCTTAAGAAAACAACTAATGCAACTCTTCCTAATATCTCGATTGCTCCGTACATAAATCGTAAAGTATATAATTTAGCCCTAAAAAGAAAATGCTAAATGTTAGGATTGTTGATGAAAGTGGTTGGAAGCATATTGCTTACACCAATCTCAGTTTCTTAGCCTGTTGCAATTATCATAGGTAGCATCCGTGGTTAGTTACACATTTGGTTTCCTTAGGCCAATGTTTGGAACTTTTAAAGCTAACACTTAGCTCTTCAATCCCGCATTGGATGATATTTCTATAATCTTGTATTTAAACCTAAATATCCCTTTTCAAGCAATACGTAATAATCTCTACCATTTTAATTATATATCATGTGTTTTTACTATGTGGTCTGTTACAAGTTAAAAGAACAAATTAATTTTATATTTATTAATTTTTGATGAATGTGCTTAATTAGGAATTTGACTAATATGTAAATGTTTCGATATTAAGACATATTGACTTAACCTTTTGAGTGTTATTACTTTCGCAGTGATTTAGGGGCGGATCATGTTTACTTTAAACACTCCATATATGTAGCATACTAATGGATTATTTAAACCTACTTAGTTGTCCAGCAAACAAAAGATTCAATTTAGTTTATCTTTTAATTTGTATTATATATCTTTATTAAGTTTTCAATCTGTGTGTATCACAAGGATTTTAACCTATATTCTAATAAACGAAACTTAAAAGTGTCACGTGTTCCTTTTCTAGATTACCTTTTTGACACGTGACATTTTTTTATGATTTCTATCATTTTCTATATTTGGTAACAAATCAACTTCAATTCAAATTTTGAAAATAAAAAATCTTATCCTAATAACATTTTCATATATTCTATCATTTTAAGATCCTATTAAATCTCTCGTATTTTAATGTATTCTAAGAAATCATGGATACATTCTCCTAATTACCTTCTTTATTTATTTTATTGTCTATATAAATTTTAAACATGGTTTCCACCAACCGTTGGAATCAAATAAGTGGGGAACCCGCTACACCCGCGGTTGAAGCCATGTTTTCCAGCGGTACCCTTATACTTGCCTAGCCCGCGACTTACCCTCCTCAAAACTCTGTTTTCCCTTAAGAAAATCGAAACAGTTACAAATGAAACCAGTATAGAGAAAATCAAATTTAAAAAAATAAATAAATAAATAAATAAAAATTCTGTTTATAACCTGTATTTGTGCATCTCTAAGTCTAAACTATCAAAATCACAAAATTATGACCAGTCAAACGAAATTTTTAGTTGCTGTTCCAAAAAAACGAAAAATCTAAACCAAGAAACTTCGTCTTTCATTCTTCATGTAGAATCGTATCTTAATAGAAGTCTTATTCGAAAAGAGATATTTATATTCCAAAGAAACTTGACCTCTCATTCACCACTTATAACGAAAACCTCAGCGCGCAACTAAACCATCAAAAAACAAAAATGGGCTCCGACGACAGAAATAACACGATAAACACGCCGGCAGCCGAAGTGGTAGTGGTGATGGTGCCCTTCGTAGCTCATGGCCATCTCAACCAGCTCGTTCACCTTTCCCGCCTTATATCCACCTACAAAATCCACGTTCACTTCGTAACCACTACCACCCACATCCGCCAAGTGCGCTCCCGCCTCCACAGTTCAGACTCCGCCGCTTCCAACCTCATCCACTTCCACGAATTCCCAACCCCTCCCTTCACATCTCCTCCTCCCAACCCTTCCGACCGCTTTCCTACCCACCTACAACCTTCCTTCGATTCAGCCATCCATCTCCGCCGCCCAGTCACCGAACTCATCCTTTCTCTCTCTAGCACCACCCGGAGAGTCGCCATCGTCCATGACTTTCTGATGTCGTACGTCGTTCAAGACGTGAAAACAATACCAAATGCCGAGTCTTACATCTTCAGACCCATCTCCGCTTTTGACTTCTTCTGGAGAACCTGGGAAAGAATGAACAGACCTTTCCCAGTGGACCCGGAAATGCTAAAACGGCTCCCGTCTAATGATGGATGTTTCTCGCCGGAGTTTATAGACTTTGTGAATCTTCATCGTCCCCATGTCGGTTTCCACGTCGGAGAGTTATTCGATTCATCAAGAGCGATTGAATCTGAATATCTTGAATATTTTGAGAGAGAAGAAATGATTGGCAACAAGAAGCTTTGGGCAATAGGGCCGTTAAATCATGTTGAGAAAAGATTTTCAACTGTTTCAAAAGACCTTCACAAATGCATGCAATGGCTGGACATGCAGCCTCCTACCTCCGTCGTTTATGTGTCTTTTGGGACAACAACAACCTTCACCGACGAACAAATTACAGAGCTTGCCATTGGGTTAGAGAGAAGCCAGCAGAGGTTTATCTGGGTGGTTCGAGCGGCGGACAAAGGGGATGTGTTTGGAGATGAAGCTAAAATGGCCGACTTGCCGGAAGGGTTTGAAGAGCAGGTGGAAGGGCGGGGACTGGTGGTGCGTGGGTGGGCACCGCAGACGGAGATTCTGGGACATGTTGCAACCGGTGGATTCATGACTCATTGTGGATGGAACTCATGTACAGAGAGTATATTAAGGGGAGTGCCAATGGTTACTTGGCCGATGCATTCTGATCAGCCACGAAATGCATTTTTGATAACTGATGTTCTTAGAATTGGGTTGGTGGTGAACGATTGGGAACATAGAGATGAGTTGGTGAAGTCGGTGGTGGTGGAGGATGTTGTTAGGAGATTAATGGATTCCAAGGAAGGGGAGGAGGTGAGGAAGATGGCGGTGGAATTGGCGGACAAAGTGCAGAGATCGGTGGCGGTGGGTGGTGAATGTGGTGAGGAGATTGATTCGTTCATTTCTCACATCAACAGACATGGATAGCAATAGGTCCATAAAATTTTATTGTTTCACCAATGACATTGATGTTTGTAGTGTGTACACCCCCATTGTTGTGGGCAAATTATTGCCAATTATTATAGTAAATAAAATGTAGTGTGTCTATAACCAACACAGTGAATGCACTTGAAACAAGAACTGAACCAGGATTATCAGATGTACTGATGTAAGAAGGATTAGAAGAATCGATTGTGGAATTAGGTTCAGTCATGATGAACAAAGTATGAAGAATGAACAAAAAAAAATGAAGAATCTTAACTTGATACCATGTTAGTTGTTAGATCTAAGAGTACGAAAATGATTCTCTTTTGTTAATTGACTTCTCTAAACTAACAAACTAACTTCTCTTAACAGAATACAATAGAAAATACTAAAATGTCCTTTTAACAACTTCTAACCACTGTCCAACATTTTTTGCCAGATGTTATACATATACTTGTTTATGTATAATACCAATGTATTGATTTTTATTTTTATATACATTGGCAATGTATTTAAATTACATATTAGCAATATAGAAACATGAAAATTGTAAAATAATACAGGTAAGTCATTAGAAAAAAAAATTACTTTGCCATTCTTTATAAGGCCATAAGTAATGGTCTCCTTAGCCCCTTTTCTTAATGATGATGTGGGAATACATCATAGTAAAGTAAACACATGGTGAACACTAGAGGATACCTTTATGGATAATAAGCAACTTCAACGTTGGCGACACACTTTAATTTTGAGTAACAATACCCGATTACCTAAAAGCATGTACAACTTCATTGAGATAAATAAAACATGAATCTTAGTTTATGTGTAATCTTGGTTTTAGAGGGTGTTTGGCTAAGCTTATGAAAAATCATAACTACTTTTTAACTTATAGATTATTGTTTATAAGTTGATAAGTTATGATTGTTTTACTTATACATTTTGACTTATTATCGGCATGAGTCATACCGGTGTGGAATCAGTAATAAACTATTTATATCCAAATACTATTTTTAGCTTATGCTGTATTGGTGATTTAATATCATCAATGTTATTTAAGTGTAATACGATTAAATTTGTTGACCAAAAGTGATCTTCTTGAATATTGAACAAGTTATGATGATGTAGAAGTGCACATTTGTTCAAGTTTTCAAGATCCAAGATACACTGTTATTTAGGGGCGAAGCCCCTAAACGAATGGGAGTCCGGGAGCAACACCCCTGTGAGCGGGGTCCAAGGGGCAGAGCCCCTGGCTGAGGTAAATTTTTTATTTGTGTTATGTTGCTATACTAAAAAATGCATCAAAAATCTGATTTTTAGAAAATTGACCATTTTCCCTAAGATCTGTTTTATTACAGATTTGGTAGTTTTGATGACAGTTTGTAAATGTCTAGTGACAGTTTTCAGACAGGAATCATATAGCCGTTTTTGGTCATTTTATGGTACACTTCTTGAAGAATATTTTCACATACATTCTCTGATTTCGTATCTCTGAATTTCATCCAATTGAGTGTTCGATCTGTACCATCGAAATACTTCAGTTTGATAATGAATCACGACTTTTAAAGAATCCAAGCAATCTGTTCATCCCCTATTTCTAACATACCGGTGTGAAACCGGTAATAAGTTAAAAAGAAGCTAAAATAAGTTTCGCCAAACACCCGCTTAAATAGCATAAAGCACCCAAAGTGCTTTAGGCTGTGGGAGCGAAAGCACGCCCTCGTAGAGCACACGAAGCACCCATTATTAAAAAAAATTGAAAATTATGGAAATTATATATAAATACTTAAAAATCAGTATATTGCATAAGGCAACAATTTCAAAAGTGGCATGATAAAAAAAATAATAATAATAAATTTTTTAAAAAAAGGGCAAAAGTATCTTCTTAAGTTCTAAATTCCTAATCTTTAATCATGAAAACTAAAAATACGTAAAACGAAAATCATCGTCATCAACTTGGACAACATCATCTCGTACACCTTCACTTCTAATATCTTTTTCCACCTCTTCATCCACCAAACAAAATCCAGATTGTTGACTAGATTCTGGAGCTTTTCCCTTATCAATACCCGATTCCATCATTTTGTACTCTCGATGCTCTAGTTAGATAACTAGGCTCATAAGCATGATGCACGAGCCACATCTCTCCAAGTAAGATCTTCACTAACAAATAATATATCACCATCATTCTTTTCTTCAAGCTTTCCCATCAACCACTCGTTACTTTCATCAATCTCTTCTAAAAGAATAGGATCCTTCTCCTTATCTTTAACTCGACGGTCTAAGGCACGATTGAATTTGACAAACGCCGTGTCATTTAATCTATATTGTGCCAATCTATTTCGTTTCTTCATATGAAGTTTCAAGAATGAAAATAACTAAATTAAGAAAAAACATATTATCATTTAAGAAAACAATTTTTTTATAACAGATACAAGAAATCTTACGTGTTGAAAGACACTCCATCTTCGTTCACAACTTGTAGCACTACAAGTTAGACTAAGGGCCCGTATGACAAAACTTTTTTAGATTAGGTGCCAAAGATCTATATGATGCCCACCAATCAGCTAAAAAGATAATAATAAAAACAAATTCAAAAAGTCAGAAAAAAAATTACGGAAAAAAATCGGTTAAGAACTTATAATAGCATTATTTTTACCTGGTGCTTTTGTTTTCCTATGCCTAATAGCCATAGGATGACCGAATAGTCCTTCTGCATTCCGGTATTTGTCTAACTCTCCAGAAATCTTGTCTTGAACTTCCTGGTCTAGAACAAGTATCATAATGCAACCATACAACCCTTGTTCTACTTCTTCACAAACTACCCCAACAATATCATTATAAAATATCATCGGGTTCAAGAAATGTCCTGCTGCATGTAGAGGTTTATGCAATTGACATTCCCACCTATAATCTAGGATTTGAAAAGTTGTCTTGTAGTCATCCGCATTGGAAAACCTGTCACAAATAGCTTCTTTAGTTGTATTCATAGCCTCATAAATGTAGCCCGTTGTTGGATATTTTTCTCCATCAACTAACCTAAGAACTTTGACTAAAGGGTCGGTTAACTTGAGAGCATACAAGATATTCACAAGACATTCCTCCAAAATGTCTTTTGCATAAAGTAGGTTTTTACTTTTTTTTCATCAGATCTTTGTTGGACCACGTGTCTTTTCCCACTCTGCATAAATCACCATATTCTTCAGGTTGTTTCTTTGTCTGTGGATTTGAGCAAGTGTGATAAAAGATGTGACAAATCTAGTTACAGTTGGCCTATGCAAGTTTTTTTGGAGAACTTTCTCATAACAGGAACATAACTATATTATATATATATATATAATATATATATATATATATATATATATATATATATATAGCCAAATGATAGCATGGCCTTCTTTATTGCAATTTTCACCTTAGGAACCTATTTTTCAGTGTCATCCAACATCAAATCCAAGCAATGAGCAGCACATGGTGTCTAATAAAGATGCTCTCTTTTGGCTTCCAACAGCTTTCCTACAAAGTTTATAGATAGAAATTATAAGACATTAACGAATGCAACATAATATTAGCATGCATATACAAGTTACAACTCTTACTTCCCTTTATATATGTTGATGCATTAACAGTCACAACTTGTACTACATTTTTTTCTCCAACTTCCTCCACCATCTTATCCAAAACATGAAATAACAAATATGCATCCTTAGACACATCTGAAACATCGACTGGTTTCACAAACACCGAACCCTTCAGAGAGTTCACCATGAAGTTTATAATGTCCTTTGGCACTATTGAATCACACCATCCATCGGATAATATTGAACAACCTTTTCTACCCATTCTTTTTCATGGTCAAAAATTTGGATTTTTACATCCTCTAATTCTTTCCTAAGTAGAGGGACTCGTAACTCATACATACTCGGTGGTTTCATCCCGAGGACAAATTGTCTAATAGCTCCAGTCATGACTTTGAAGTTATCATATGCCGTGACGTTGTAAGGAATGGTTGCACCAATAAATTATATACTAATTAGTAAATTGTTATTAACATAAACTCAACAAGGCATCAAACATAAATTATACATGCATCGTAAAACCACCTCGCAATCCCACGAAAAACTTTATCCTTGATATCCTTGCAGCATACTTCATTGATGGTTTGTTGTCTCCCTCCCTTCCTAACTTTGATGATTTCATGCGGATTAAGGGTGAAGTACATGTCCATAGGGCCTTTTTTCCTTGGTTTTTTCGGAGGGGGTATTTCCTACTACTGCCTATTTCAACAACATCTTCCTCATCAACATCATCGTATTCATCATGTTCTTGCATCTGGAATCGTGATTGTTGCATTTGTTATTGAGCTTTTAAATTTTGTTTATTTTCCATGTATACTTTTAGTTCTTCTTGTATATCTTCCAAACTATTCAGACACTTCTTTACGTCCTTATAACCACCGACCATATGATGTTTGAGGCAAAAATACATCTCCCTTCACCACTTGTACCCCGTATCTCTTAACTGGGTCATCATATCCATTCTTTGTAGAACCCATTATGTAAAATAACATTATATCTTTGTAGATTAGCATTATATCATTATGGATCATGCATGTATTGTTCTGTTTCTACACATGCTGACATGCAAGCAACATAATAGTTAAGAGTTAAGACTTAAGAGTAAATAAAGATCAAGTGATTATTGATTATAAGTCAACAACTAACTAAGTGACTAACAACTAACAAGTAACATTAAAATCTAACATGATACAACATAAAAACATAACATAACATATTACAGATGTCTGATAACTTATTAAGTTATTAACTCGGAAGAAGTAGAGTAGAATAGTAGATCATTAAAATCTATAGAATTGGTGAAGAAGAGATGGAGAAGCAATGAAGCATAAAAGATTTAAAAGGTTGTACCTTGTTTCGATCTTGATTGTTGATTCCAACCGTTGTGTTCAGAGGCTGAAGATGAAAATGGAGAAGAAGAAACGTTTTCCC